TCCTGAAAAAACAAAAAAAAAAAAACCTCCACTACAGAGGCCACTTCAATGTAAGAGGTGGGTCCTCTTGTGTGCCAGCTTCCATCAAAAGTGACTGCAATATTTCCAGGGTTGTCGATATTAAGGTCCTTTTAAAGGCTCCTCACTGTTGTGGCACATTTAGCCGTATGATCAGCACAAGCTCTCGTTGCTGCTGGCTGGAGTTTTGTTTTTAGGTACTGCTGGTAGGTCTTCGTATGAAGACCTCGATCTTAAACGCCCATAGAGGCAAAGAGGTCGTTGGTCTCGAACGAGTTGGAATTATTGTTACCACCAACTCATGGCGAACTCCATTTTGAGCAACTTCATCGCAGTTTCTACAATGAAGCTAAAGCTTCGCAGGGATGCTGTACTCATGTGCGTCGCGTTCTATAGTCGGCTGTCTCTGGTACATTCGGCAAGACGAACATTCGTCAAGTAGGCGGTTTACCATGTCAAGGTCAACAGTTGTATACATCGAGGCTTTGAACTTTCGGTGTCACACTCACTCGTGAGAACACTCATTTTGCAATCCGTTACTGAGATTTAGAAAAGTGCTGCTGCTTTCGTTGGGCACAAGGCTCAATGATATTCCGGTGAGCCATGGTAAAAAATGTAGCGTCTATCCTCACGTGGTCCGGTTGATCACGCATACTTGCAATATGGGAGGCAGCAGTCGCAATCGCCACCTCGCTTTCTGCGGCTGTGAGGTCTTCTGCAGCAACAGCGTTGTTTGCCCCCGCAATCGCAAGCGGCGAGGTTGTTTTCTGGATGCTCGTTGGACTATCACCACGACCAGCTGATTCTGACACCACCGTGGACCCCATCGAAATCGCCGTCTTCAAGTGTGTTGCACTGTTGTTTCATCACGGCATTCTTTGTGCTTCCAGCCGAGGTGATCAGAGATATCTGTCGACAACTGCGATGATTTATGGCACTCTTAAAGCATGTGACCACTGCTAGAAGCTGTAGCGATCGGTGGCTGCCTTTGTGTCGGGCTGCGACATCGCAGCGTCGGCCGATAAACTGTCCCGCTCGGCTGTGCCGATGTATCCGCTGCTGACTTTGATGACTCCTCAGGTGTGTGGCTGGCACGTTTTTTGCACCACTTACCGAGTTTATGTGCCATGCGAAACTTACGAGCACGGCTTGGCATCTCGATTCCGATCGAAAAACATTTAGGAATGGCGGTGAATGAGCATGGTAGCGACCGCATGCACGTGATCGCCAGTGTTGTCAGTCCGTGCTCTCCTATCACAAGGTACCATTCACTGACGTGGTCGCTATGGGCCAACGATTTGATGTGGTTCTTTCGCTTCTTTTTGTCTGGTATCACACGTTCACTGAAGCATTGGAGGTTCATTTTTGGCGGGAAAGCAAGCCGAAAAGATGCTCTTTCAAACGAGGCTAAGAAGGCCATGTTCACATAAGTGGTTAGAGTGAGGTGAGCAAGGCAAACAAGGCTGTTTCGGCGTTTTCATAAGCAAAACCAAATGCTGCGATGCATAAATACTACTGTTTGGTATAATAATGCATCATTTCGAAACAGTAGTCAGAAATTCAGGAGTCCATTGTTCAAGTTGGAGCCATGAACATACGAAGGTGTTTTGCTTCCCGCTTGTGTCCGTCTTGCTTCACCAGGGCATGACATTCACCCATTGATGTTGTTGCCTTTCCGTGGCGTTTGCAGCAGTTTTATTAGACGGTGCTATTGCACTCGAAGTGGTGAAAAAAACTCTGTTGTAAGGGAATGTTTCTTATACGTTTCATTGGTTTGTGATATTCAAATTATCTGCAGACGCTAACTCCTAGAGCGCCAAAAGACCCATCGAGTAACAGCCATTGTGACTGGAAACCCAGACAATGGTGGTTTACGTTGCTTATGTTGTCAGGGCAACAGTAACAACAACTGCTCTCTTCTTTCCCTTTCCTCCTTCCACTTTTTCGGCTGTAAGTATATAAAATATTCACGCACTGAAAAAAAAAAAATAGAAAAGAAAGCCCTGGGGGCAGAATAGAAAGCTTGTCCACTTTATATGCTTATCGAGACTGTGCAGATAGCACATTCAACAGTTGTTAACCCTCTTTGGGCAAATGCATCTTGCCTTCTCTAATACCCCAAAAAAGTCTCCATCCTAAAGAGTAGCAATTGAAAACTATGCATTCTGAGACAAATTGCATAATTGCATTGCCCAAACGTAGTTTTGTCATCTTACTTCAGTGTAAGCTGTCTTATAAGCTGTGATAAAAGCTGTGATAAAAAGTCTAGAAATCTGTATTTAAACAATGTCAACTGATAAACAGGCAAAAAAAGCAAAATGCACTTCCAAGCATGCAGTCATGGCAGATAATCTAAGTTGTACTTGTGATTATGAGTCTAAAGTGGTTTAATTTCACTGCTTTTAGGAACAGTACAAACAGTAATATTAGCCTATCTAAAAATAATAGCTGCGACTATAAACTGCATGTACCTCTAGTTTTTCGGAACGTGGAAGGGTCTCGCAGAACTCGGCCGGTCTTGAAGTATCCATGCTCCATTGCAGGATGTACAAATGGTGCGTACCAGTGACCATCATGGCGGCAAGAGCACACAACACACAGACACTGCAAAAACTTCACATGTTGGCCAACACTCGCTTCTTGTAATGGAACACCACAAAACTATGTATCAAGGCTGGCGGCTTGGACGGGCTTTGATGATGATTGTGGAGCACGGCTGCTGGTGCGAGAAAAGGGGGGGGGGGGGGGGGGGTTATGAGGTATTCCACGCTACCATCATTGGCTGCTTTCATTTTGACTCTAATGCAAATTTTGCCTTCAGTTATTGCACTTCTGACTGGCAAGTGAAATAGACAAGATGGTAGCGATTATATAATTACTGGGGACGCTCGAGCGGAATCTTTCTAACTGTTGCAATTGGTGCATTTAGAAGCTGCAAAACTTTGACAACAAGCTGTCACACGCTAATATGACGTGAAAGGCAAAGAACGTAGCTGCATCTGGGGTGCTTTTTTGATGCCACTGCAGCCAGTGTTCCTTCGTTGGCATTGAGGTGCTGTAACTGTGTTGTCTTCGAAGTCGTCCTTACCGGCGCTCGTAAGTGCCATAACATACTACTTAGCTTCACCGCTCACATACGCTGACACCACCTCTCCAAGAGGTCGTGGGTTCGATTACCAGGAGAATCACATCAAGAAAACTTTTTTTTCTAGTTTTTCTTTGTCATCCTTAAGTGTGCATTTTATCGCCATTATATTCTTGCCAAAAATATACAAGTGAAGTCTTGCTGGACCATGGCATAAAACTCTTTCGGGTTAACAAACTTAGGATGATTACTGTCAAGTATGGTTCGCAGGCAGCATGTAGCCTTGTACGTTCAGCCCCCAACTATAGCCCGTTGCCTTGTCTCTCCACTGCACTTTTCTTCCTTGCGCCCTACACACTGGGTCATTGCTTACTGTCTCTCCGGCCAACACCACCTATAAGTACCACTTCGTCCCCGACTGACACAGTTCTGCCATCTATGGGTCTATCTCATTTTGCTACTACAGTCGAACCCTGCTACAATGAAAATCACGGAGCGGAAAATATTTCGTTGAAGTGAGAATTTCGTTTAGTGAAATTGAAAAAAATATAGCTGATCTGAGCTAGCAAAACAAAAGAGCGTTTATTTGTAAAATTAAAAAAGTGTCCGCTGCTTCCTATTCTTTTCCGGCAGCGTCACGACACGATTCACAGTCATGCATAGCGAGGCCATGGTGAAAACCACGCTGAAACAACGCCTACAACCGCTTTCGTAAACGTACCAAAACAGTTGCTTTAACACATTAACACCAGCAGCCGTCCGCTGTCAAAGTGTATCCGACAACGCCGAAACGGAGGCAGGGTATTGTGGAGCGATGACTTTTGCCTTATTCTATGCCATTCTTATTATCCATTACTCGCAGCTAGCTGATTTCGTTGATAATTCGGATGAACAGCCGCTATGATTAGGTACCACACTGGCCAAGCACGAATAAATTGAGAAGCATTGGACTCGGGAAAAGGCATCGTTCTGTGGTTGCACGCAGCAGCTGCGTGATGGAAACCATGAACTGAGCGACTGAGCTTCAGCTTTGGATCGTCTGCGGCTCGAAAGCAAGCCAATGGCAAAAGCAGGGCCATCCTCCATGAGCAGGGCAGTCTCATTGCCATCGCTATCGAGCAAAGGCGGCGCCCATGCTTGCTGAACAGCAGCGGTTTCTGGTGGTGCCAACACGTGTTTTAGACTTCGTCGACGTATTTTCAGGTTCTCGAAATGCATCAAAGTGTTAAAGATTGATTTTTCTGTATAGCAATAAATGTCTGAGCCTGGAATCGCATCGTGAAATATCGTTGAAGCAGGGCGGCGGAAGAAAAAGTGTTCATTGTGGCGACAATATTTATTGACTCCTGTGGACAGCTGACAGGAAACTGTAAATTTTTCGTTGTTGCAAAAATTTTGTTAAAGTGGCATTCGTTGTAGCGGGGTTCGAATCTATATCTTTATATAAGTGAAATAATACTACACTGGATGTTCTGAATATAATTGGTGAACTCCAAGCTCATACTGGAGAAATCTCAACTGCTCATTGTGTGTTGTGATCTTGAGACTCAAGACTAGATGTTTTTGTTATAATTGTGATATTGATCTCTTTATATTAACTGTAGTAAAATTGCTTATCTTGAAGTTTTAGAATAAAAAAAGCTTGATTTGCATGCCGTTTTGAGTCCTTGAAAAACCTGCAACAGATTCTGGAAAGTTCTTAGATATTCTTGAAATTTTGTTTTGGAAACCTGTACAAATGCTGTGTATGGTGTAGATTGCCATCATTTACAACAACTTCTTGCATTGTCGTAAATGTGATTGCAAAAGCATTGGAAAGTAGGCATTTATGTTGTTTAAGTACACTTGCTCCTTTAGACACATCTTGCTCTATATAAATTCTTTTTATTCTTCAAAGGTGAAGTGGGCACTTTGGAATTCCCTTCTCCTTCTGACTTGAACACACGCCTTCGGCGCATCATTACCATGTACCAACGGAACCACAAAAAGAGGGAGCTCATCAATGCTCAGCGTGCAAGGGTGTGTATTTCTTGTTTCATTTTAATTGTTTTATTTTGTCTTGCTGTAGAGTTGTGTAGCTCTTCATTTCGGGCTTTTGTTCATGCTGTAAGTTCTGACAAGAAACTACTGAGAAAACATTTCTCCGGCCTTGTGCCGAAACTGTAAAATGTCAATGGACTGCGACAGTCATTTATGGAATACAATGCTTCTTTAGCTGTGTGCAGGCTGTCGGAAACCCTTTAGTTGAAGGGCTGCTTTTAGTTATGTCCTAGCTCGAGTGGCCCTTCTAATAAGAAAGAGATATGGCAGGAAAGCGCAAAAAATGGCACAGTGAACACCAGGACACAGTGCTGTGTTCTGTGTGTTCACTGTTGCATTTTTAGTTTGCTTGTTTCCACTGTTCTGCCATATAATGACTTGACCTGCTGACTTAAGAATCCTTCAAAAATAATAATTGCTCCATTATATATTAATTTACATTAGGAGGAAATAGTTGGATGCTTTTCTGCTGCTTCTCAGCGTTTGATAACAAAATATATGCGAACTAATTTATCACAGGCAGCCATTAAGTGTTGCAATATAGCCTGCCATAATTTTAGCAGTATTCAGGTGTCGGTAGATTCTCATTATACATTTGCATATCATGTCCGGGGCCTGCTGCCAATTTCCAACCGTTGTTTGCATTATGAACCTGATTCACATATTTAGATAAGGTTTCACTTTAGGCTGAACACCCAAACGTGTGATATGTGCAAGCGTGCTTCTTCGGTAAGTCTGGAAGTGGCTGCTTTGGTGTGCTATACCATGAACTGTAGCTGCGCAGCACTGGTTCATTTCTGTTTGCCGGAGTACAAAAGTACTCAGGGTAAAAAGTGAGATGATGCGTTCTCTAGGACAAATGGCATGTGTTTATCTGCTTAGTTAAATTGGAAAAGCCCTAAAAGAGAGAGGGGAAAAAAAGAGTGGAGTTGCATATGCAACACTGTTCATGCCAGAATGCTTGACTGTTCTTGAATTTCATTGTAATGTGTTGCAGAAAATGTGTCTATGTAGTGACATATCTGACAGTACTCTGACTTAGGTATGAACATATAATAAGCTTGCATTTAGTAAGAAGCGAATGATAGAAGGCTGCGGTAAATTTCTGCATAATTTATGAGTATAGCATCAATTTATGGTAATATGTGCGTAATATTAATTTATGGTGTGTAGCAGCTTACATGAACAGTGATGCAGTCATTGCAATCTCCTGCCTTCTGTGTTCTATTATATTTTATGGTGCATAGGTAACATATGCATATTGTTGTCTTCTGCATTGCATATTGAAAATTGAAAATTGAAAATTGCTTTAGTCTATTTTTGCAGTCGATAAGCAGTGTCTGCTGAAACATGATGGTCATTATTTATGACATAATGAGAAACAAGGCTTCAAGAGAGGATAGTTAATCTTTATGTGATCCAAATAATAGGATCACAATTTGAAAGGGTATGAATGCATTTCATAGATGGCCAATTTTGCAAAAGATTTAAGAAAGGGCTGAGTTGTATAAATCAGTATCACAATATCTAGGTATGCCTGGAAGCTTTATGTACTCTGCTTAACCAAGTTGCAGTTATGTTAGTCAGTGTTTTTAATCATTTTTTATTATTTCTAGTTTTCCTGCGATTCATTGTTTCATTCTCTTTTTGGCTATTATAATGCGAGTGAGGTAATAGTAATAGCAATATATAAGGTAAGAAAAGTTATAAATAAAAACCAAATCACCTGGTTGTTGTAGCTCAGTCATAGGTTTTGGTCTAATTCTTTGTATTTATAGGTTAAATACTGCTAGGCCCATTAGGTGGTATTGAAGTGTCATCTTGGGGGATACCGTATTACTAGCGTAAAGACGTACTCCTAGTTATGACACCTCTGGACAGGGGGGGGGGGGGGGGGTGTATTTGTTGACCTCCTCTGTATAGTTGGCTTTATGTTGCATATTTCTTGTACCCAATTTTCTTTTTTTTATATAGGGATGTTGTTTATTTTTTATTGATTTATGGCAATTTTGTCTTTCCGAGAGTGACATTGTGGCCATGTCACACTATAGTGAGGAGTTGTGGGGTAGGAACGAATAACTGCAGTTGCTTCCAGGCAAGTACAGTCCAGTGGTTAACTGTGTGACATTTGGCGGGCTGCAGCTTGAGTTGAGTGCATTGCAAACATGGATTGTGATTAATTATTAAACAGTTTTCTTGGTTGTGCCTCCCTTGCAGAACACAGCCTACCAGGTAGGATGCCATTTCAATTTTGGCAAGCTCTTTGTTGTCTCTGCGGCTTGTAGAAGCTTCTGCCATCTCCCTTTTACCTTGGTGGTGTCTCTCCCAGTTGTGCAGTCTTACCTAGCCTTCATGCGTGGGCACTCTTGTAGCTCCCTTGTTTCAGCACCATTACTGCTCGTTTAGCAGCTGGCTGATCCCTGTCCCTGTGCTTGGCCCTTGTTGTTGCTCCCTGCCCTCCCGCCTACTTGCTGCTGCTTTTGCTGCTGCTGCTGTAGGCAGTTGTCTTAGCCTTTGTACACCTATGGCTCACTCCACAACTAAATTTTCGTTTGATAGAGAAGCGTTCTGGTGGTATATCTGTATCACTATTTTGGGTTTTTTGCACATTTTCTGATAGTAGATGGTTTATTAGTTTTACCATTATTAGTAAATCATTGCATCACTTTTATTGGGAATTTTGTCTTTATGTTTTTTTTTTTGAGACTTCTCATAGCTCTCTTACCCCCTTGAGTGGACTGTGGTTGGTTGGTTTCGTCTTCAATCTTGTTTGAGAATGAAACACTTACAGTAGGAAAATATGATAGTAAAAGGATTATTCAACATTGATTGGTTGAAGGGGAATATATAAGATCGTGGTTTTTATCTTTGTCAAGGAGGTAAAGTTCCTTTTTTCTAAAATGCCAGGTTTAGTCAGTGGCCTTCTTGTTGATGTAGTCATGGCCATAATTTCGTTATTATTTTTTAGATACACTGTGGGAATAGTCACTTCTTTCAGATGTCATTGATTGTAGTGCAGCGTCAGACTTTGTGACATTTCTATCATCGAAATTGGATTCAGCTTTCTTTGTCAGCTCCCTTTCAAATCCCTGAAGGTGCCCTTCGATGCAGGATATCAGTGCTGCATAATTTTGTTCTGGAAGTCGTATTTCAATATTCAGGCATCCAATCATTAGGGATTCTCATCAGTATGGATATTATTAGATATTTGAATGGTAGGAAAGTGGGCAAATAAGGAATCTTGTGGCATAGAATTCACCAAGCATATGTGCTAAGTTTCGGCTGTTGCTCAATGCCCATTGCTTGTCTTGTGTGTAATGTGTTCCCATTGTGTTGCTGGCTGTTGACTTAGGCATTCATCTAACCTATGAAAAACATTGCATGAGACATCCTTTGTTCCCTTCTCCTCCCACAAACCCGTGTGTTGCCCTTTGTTGTGCATGTTTGTGGGTATATTCTGTTCTTTATTTTGTAGATTGGTTTTGTGCTTCAGAGTTTTAAGGTGTCTGTGCATTATGCGTGACATGTAGTGATGATCTAGCAAGCAATAATATATCTCTTAGTTGTGTTTCTTGTTTTAGGTTCCAATTGCAATTAGGGATTGCTCGTCTGGTTTGCTGGAACACTAGGCTATTATTCTCGTACCAAACAGAAATTATACGTACTTAAGTTGCTGTGAATTATTTTCTAAAGCTATCCCAGTGTTTTGAAATCAACTGACTGGATCAGTGCAACACTGCAATTAAAGAATTTTGTTTGTGCATGTGTGTGAGAGGGAGAAAGATTTAATTGGCAGCTAATGTATCCATACCAGTGCATGCTGGGTGCAAGCAAAGACTAACTTGAAGCTCTTAGCTCAGTACCGGCAGGATTCATTTGTCTATTAGGAATATGCATCTTGTTTCACATTGTTTCACTGAATCAGTCAAATCAAAGTATATAAGCCTTCAAAGTTAGGAAACACATTTTTCCAGTTTGTGCTTTTAAATATTTGCAATGCATGGAGTAGTTTGATAAACTGGTTAATATGTTGAGTATACTGAAACCTCGACATAACTTACCTGGATGTAATGAAGTGCCAGTTATAACAAAGTCTTGCAATAAATATAGTGTTAGGAATAAACCTTTATAAATAATTTTTGCATAAATCAAACTTATTTTCGTTTAAGATACAACTCTGTTGTAATGAGGTTTAAGTATATTAATACTTAATAAATTAGTTGGGAATAATGTGGTCGCTTTGTAATGGAAGAGGTGAAGTGCTTACAGCTACGAACCTGAAGCAACCTTAGGTTCCGAAGGCCCTTTTGGCCTGTATTTGGACTTGCATTTCACGGAATGACTAGTAATATGTGTTGGTCGACTACGGCAGCAAGAAATGAACCTAGTGTTTGTTGTGATAAAAAGTGCAACTATCACAAGCACTTTGTGCTAATTGTTTTATGCAAAAAGTATGTTTCGAAATCTGTCTGGGTATTTTTAATCTTGCTCAGTGGCCTGATACAACCTTGGCAGGACTCTTCTATTGAGGCTATAGTTTGGTTTGTAGTACGGCAGACTTTTAATAAACAGAACCTGAAAGAACCTGAAAAATATGTTCCATTTAACAGGAGTTTCTTTTGCTGATGGATGAACAGCAGTGCATAATAAGAGTATGAAATTAGTCGCATCAGAGGCAGTTCCATTTAAGCACCAGTTCTATTTAACAGAATTGTGTTCACGGAGAGTCTACTTAGTTTGGCAGTCACTACCAAATTCACTTCAAAGGATCACAGGTTTCAGAGTGCTGTTGCCGAAGATGCTAGCGATCATTTTGTGTTTTTTTATATAGTGTTTAGCCTTCTGTAAACACAACCATTTTTTCTATTTATTTTTATATTGTCATAGTAATAGTTATAAATGTGAGTTGGGAAGTCTATGCAAAAAGACACTTGGAAATGTTATCCAGAGTAGCTACTTGTTCAGAATTGAATTAGTTCTAAAGCTCTTAAGCTGATTATGCTTTATAATACCGAATACACAGAGCCATTTATTTGTGCTGGTCATGTAAAGAAAAATGCGCATGGGATGGGAAAAAAATTTCACACTGGCTTAAGTATTAAACACAAATGTGGGGAAACTTGTACAGATAAGAGGGCCTACTCCTGAAAGGCTGCATCAATGCAAAAGAAAGCCTACAACTAAATGTACAGGTCAAGTGGAAGTAAGACAAGCACACCAGTTCATTGATTACCAATACAACAAAAGGACATAAACATTGTGAGGTCAATTTATGCACACTTTTGGGTGACATGTTAACGGGGCCCTGCAACACTTCCCCAAGTAATAATTAAATGGCTTCATTAAAACAGTTTATTGTTTTGGAAATGGACTGCCGCAATGATTTTTAGAATCTGTGAAGTACCAGCAGAGTTATAGAGATATGCTGCACGCTTTAAATGCCTTCTTCTCTTGTACCAGCAAATTTCTGAAGGCTATATAGGGAAACGGGAATTACAAAAGGGCAAGAAGCTACTTTCGTTTGCACTTTCTTTTTTTCTTTGCACGCGTGACTCGCATGACTGATGATGTGGTTGCACAGGCACGTAGTAGCTTCTCGTGGTAACCAAGGTATCTGGGCAGCTAACGATGCCCAAAATCCGTCGATTGCCGTGGACTTAGGGTTTATGTAATGGTCATTTGGGTTTATTACATCGTTGAGAGAAGAGTGAGCGATTTCTAGCTTTGAGAATTAAATATCTATTCCAGGATGTGTGCAGCGCTATTTTACAGTGCTGCATGTGGCCTTACATGTTTTCAGAGCTTGGCTCCCAGTTTTCAGTGCACTCGTACTCTTCATAAACATAAAATACCAACATGCCGAGATTTCCGCCTTGGTGAACTACCACTCTTTGGCTTATGTGTTCTTAGAGCTTGGCTACTGGTCGGCAGCATTTTTTGTCCATGCTCGAAAGTGTTGCAGGGCCCATCTACATCATGTGGTTTCAGATGTGTTAGATCTACATCAGTCCATGCCTAAAAATGTTAAACTTGAAGTTTAAGTAAGTACATGCAACATGAAAAACTTACAAAATGTTTCTCAAATTGAAATTATGGGAAAATGAAGCAAAAATAAACGAAAACAATAAATGGTTCTACTCTTGGGAGTAGGTTTCAGGCCAGATCAGTTGTGGCACATGGAGCATTTCAGTGGCAATGTGCTAAATTGGAGCTAGATAAAGAGGCACACTCACGCCAATGTGCACCATTCCCTTCATAAAAAAGTAGTGGAAGTTGATCTTCAGTAGTACATTATATAAACTTGGAGTTTTCCTAGCATAAAAAATAAATAAGTGAGTAAATGAAAAAGTTTCATTGGAATTTCTAGTAAGTGCATGCAACACAATGGAAGCAGGCACATACACAAGCAAAGTGAGTCGATAAGCAAGACAACAGGGATAGGTGCTCTTGTGTACTAGAAATTAAGCTTACAACAACAAAAGGTTGAGCAAGTTGTTAAGTATTCCATATAGAAGAAAGTAAGTTGTGGAAATAGAAACAAGCAAACAGAACGAGAACAGAAATCCTTTCAGCGATCTTAGAAACTTGTTCGTTCGAGCACGCTTTAAGTGGGAGGTAAATAAAGCTTCCTAAAAGTTTCAGCTTATGTTCAAGTTGATCTTAACACTTTTAATAGGGAGTTTTAGCTTGTACGTATACTTCTTTACGTTAACGTGTTACCGGTTTCCGTTTACCGTCTTACCGGAACGCATATGCTTCAATGTTCTAGCTTTTCATACGTAAACTTTCATGTACGTACGTACGTACGTAAACACATATGCCTTTACGTTTTCGCAAACCATAAATGGTGATGCTAACTGCATATAAGCTGCATTTAACGTAGATAAAATTGAATCACCATTGTGGCAAAATCGCGAGGCGCATATACAGTCATGAACACGTTGGCTTACGCGTAATGTTTTTGAGATGAAAATGATTAAAAAGGTAACTCATTTTTAATATTGCCGCTATGCGGTTTTTGCATTGGACGTACAATGCATGATGTTTTTGCAATAACAATTTTGTAATTGCCTTTTCACTATTACCCCGCTAGATGGCGCTATCTATCCAGCTTGTCGGGAGCAGGCACGTTTACGGCGTCTATGTCCTAGGCTTCCTGGGCCATTCTAGCTTTGGTAATCTGGTTGAAACAGTGTAATGGCTATTGGCGCTCGCACTTCCGCTTATTTCAACTCGACAGCTCAAGTCCCTGCTGTGCGGATACCACGAGCTTCTATTAACAATGGTAGGGCAAAAACGTAAAGCCTATATGGCGGGAAACGTTATGGTTTACGTTTTGTAAAGACTCGCGCATGCGCAGATTCTATCCAGTATCCGGTAACACGGTAACGTAAAGAAGTATACGTACAAGCTAAAAGCCCCTAATGCCAGGAGCCAGTTGTGATTAATGTTTTCCATTTGGTGCACATTTGAAGAACACTAGGTAGTAAATTTATTAAGGTAAGTTTATTCATAGTCTCAGACTCCCTTCTAAGCAGACTATAGTTTGTTGCACAAATTCCTAGAAATAATATTGTTTATGATGGTTCATGTTGTGTTATTTTTATTCAGACAAAAAAAAAGTGTCCATTTTCTGCTGCCTCTATGGACCTGTGTGTTTAAGGAAAAGGGGTGGCGACATCAAATTTGTGGTTTCTGTGTAATGTGTTGCCAACTTTTCTATTTGTTCCAGAAAGCATTACACATGAGGTTCATGTATTTTTGCTAAATAATTTAATATTGCTTTATTTGTGGGAGCAACTTTTGGTTTCTGAATGCCGAGATGGACATTGACGACACCGTGTTGGAAGGTTGCTCACTTTCTACTCTTTGGAGTAGGCTTCACATCAGTTGTGCCACACGGAGCATTTCGGTGTGAGCCCTCAAAGCTTTGATACCTGTAGTGCTGCATTGTCCACTTCTCACACACATGGGAAGAACTGTCTTGGTGTTCACACTTTCTAAAAATTTGTAATGAAGTATATTAACGTGTATGGTATTCCCATATATGCATAGATGTCTGCAAAGTAGTGGGTTGTCAGGTGGTGGTCTTGATATCTTGTGATGCTTCGTGCTACCACAATATTAGGTGTGTTTCTTTATTTTCGCTCAGTGACCATGATGAAGAAAATTTTAAAAAGTTAGTCCATTTGTAACTGTGTTGCTATGTAGAATTAACACCAGCAGAGAAATAGAACACAGTAGTTTTCCTAAATAATAATTTAATGCTTGCCTGGTTTATCATAGGGCCACCAGGTGGCCCCACTTTTTCTATCTCTCATGTTTACGGCTACGGTAACGCGCTGTGCTGAAGCTAAGAACTGTGTGAACAATCTAAAATTCTTGATTGTCATCTTCACAAGTTTGCATCACCTTGTGAAGCACTTAGCAAAATATGACCAAGTTTGGCTATGGCAACATGCTGAGAAAAAATTGGTATAGTTTAGCAGCCAATGAGCGCTTTGCAAGAATGAGCACTGAGGCACGCTTTGAAAGTGAATTAAAATATATTCTTATTTGCTGTGTACAGCACTTGGGGCTGAGTGTCCTTGCATACAAAGGAAGCCTACACCAGACTTTTTATAGCCTCAAAATTTGGTGTCTTTACCCCTTTAAGCCATGAAACAGTAAGTCATGTGAATGTTCTGAGGATTTATATCTATTCAGGACAGCTGCATTGTTGCATGTAGGGTAAGAGCACTGGGATACTAAATTTTAGTGCAGAGCTATAATGCTCAGGTTAATTGACTGTATGCAGAGCACTCTGCAGTTCGATTAGTTCAGCTATGTTTTCAACTAGAATGTTTTAAGGAGTGTTGAGTTTAATATTTTGATTTTATTTGCAGAACATCATTGATACTATTACTTAGCTCAACAGTGTGCATGGGTGTGCACTAGAAGCAATTTAGATTAGGTGTTCACGTTTGTTTGTTTTTTTTCAACATATTTTGCTACATCTCATACAATGCTTGAGAGCTAAGAAATTGAGGGTAAGGTGGAGGGTTAAAGTGATGAAGAATCAGTGAACAAGTAATATCTCTGGAAAGGGGTGGAAATAGTTTGTATTCTCAAAATATGGAACAAACGGCTTTTCAGTTGTTGGACAAGATGAAAGCTAGGTAAGACCGCCAATGCTAAGAACTGCCTTCTCTTCATGCCGTTTTTTACACTAAATTTGGTGTTTAATTCTTGAACTGATCTGCCTGAAGAAGTGCATGCGTTGATGGATTGTACTGGAGATATCAATTGCTAGTCCATGCAGCCCAGTTTGCTAAAGCTCATTTTTCTTTAAGGAGCCCCTACTTCTTCCCAGGAAGAGCCCTCATTGGAGCTCCACTTAGTAGAAATTTTCTGCAGCCTCTGGTTATCTTGTTGTGCTTGTTCAAATCATGGAAATGCTACCATAGCGAATTAGGGCTCACCACCAGCCATGAATGCGGCTATGTAGTCCCACTGGCAATAAATTTTGCATTTAACGTGTATACACAGTTTAACAGATTCTGTTGATTTCAAATTTCAATTGTATAAATCTTTTAGAGCAAGTAACTAAAAATTATGGTATTTTTGTTCTCTCTATATTTGGAGAGTATGCTATTGTGAATAGGTAAACTGTAACGAAGTTTTTGCATAAGTTTATAGGCATTTAAAATTTCTGACATACAAAGATACAGTTCTTTAGGAAGCATTGCCAGGAAAGTAGAAGCATTTTTACTACGTTATGTTCTTAAAAAAAAATAGGGTTTCAATAATGATTAGACGAAAATTTACTATTTGAAAGAAAAAAAAAAAGAGTAGTGTTTACAGTCACTTCCATGTTTAGAGCTGACCCACATGAATTTTATTTTAATACTGCATCAGCTTCTGTATGTCATGATTGAATGAACAAAATTCAGATTAGGGTCAAACAGTATTCATGGTCACATAGACATTTCTACAGAGAAGTGATGTAATAAACTTGTAGTTTACATATTTTCTTACATATGTTAGCACAGTTGTGTTACATAACTTTACTTTTTTTGGTAGTTTTCTGCATAACCCCGCTATAATGAAAATATTTGTGTGGCCATGTAGGATCTTCTGGCCTAATGTCCTTCTGTGGTGTCTGTACATTGTGTTCAAGTTTTGTGAGGCATTAATATTCTAAATTTACAACTCTCTTGGATTTGATCTTTTTGTTTGCTTTCATTGTCTCAAGGTTAATGACATGAACTTTCTTTTTTGTTGCAGATTTTAACGGCTATTCAGGTGGAGGGTTTTAACTTTGTAAATGTATGCATTTTATCTCTACTGCCATACCTCTCTCTCTGCAGCTCTACTTTGATGCTGTGTTTCAGTTTGTAATATTTGTGTTTTTAGGCTATTTATATTTCTAGTTCTATTTTTTTTTCTGCTCATAATCTACAGCACAGAAACCTCTAACAAATGTGCAGTTATATTATTAGCACATTTGTATCATGTTTAAATTTAAATGGGGCAGTTTTTTTTTCTTTTGCAGTTTTCACAGTTTTGAGTATAGTGTATGTTTAACTCAATATTGGATGTATTGTAAGATGTATTGTAAATGAAGATTTGAGCGCTTTGCACAGTATTTCAAAGCACTCCAAAACAAGCACATTCCTGATTTTAAAAAATTGCTGGAGTTGCCTTTTGAACTTTTGGCGCCACTTCAGGTGTTCTTAAGAAAACGTTGTTTGAATGAGTTGTGTCGCACTTGTAACCATTCAGTTGTTTTCTTATATAAATAGGTCAGTTCACTAAAATATTAACTCTTTCCTCGCCACAAAAAAAGTGCATATTTTTAGCATTTGAGGGCTTTTTTTTTTAGTAATGTGGTAATGTCAGCCACGTTTTCTATAACATGTCAAATTATTTTAAGATATATATATCTCATCTTTCAGAAAAAGCTTTGAGGTACTGTTTCTGGCATAAGCATAATAAAGTATGTTCACAAAACAGTTTTCACACTTTTAAAAGCTAAAGCAAGGCAAGTCACTATAAGACTATAGGAAGTTGCTTTTGACACTGCGAACAGTTTTATAACTATTTACTTAGGGGTGATATAGTTTTGTATCTGTTTTAGTGATTCTAATGAATGAAACCTAGCATTTATGATGATTACGAGCTTGCTTGATGTCTATGTAGCAGAAAAACAGGAGCGTGCCTTTAACAATGTATAGAGTTTCTGTCTTGTAAGAGTGACAAAGAAAAAAAAAAATCTCGTTTCTAAGCATAGACTATTGAGTTGGTTCCATATTTGGCAAAGTTTTTATATCAAGTGTTCTTCAGTGGCCAGGGAATACATTGCCGACCAGGGGCGCGAATCTTATGGTGTTCGTTTGGGCGAAGCGCATTCAGTTACGCAAAAAAAGCGGAGTCGTGACGTCATGGCGCTCTTGACCGCGTCGATGCATCGAACCTGCCAGCACATTTCTAGCATAAAGAGAAAGGAAGTGGACGAAAGGTGCAGTAACAGGACTTTTAATCAAATGGGACAAGTCTGAACTTGTGTACGAACGTCTTGAGGTGCTTGATCATCGATGCAGGGAATATGTATCTATCGACCTTTCGGTGCATCAGCTGGGTGGCAGTGTTAAGCCTAATTCATGGGCTAACGTAAATGGAATTCAGGCATGGCTTCAGCGATGTGTGTCCAACTACGGATCTCTGGGCGCAGCATTCATTGCAGTGAAGTGCATTCGTAAATGAAATTCAGGCATGGCTTCAGCGATGTGTGTCCAACTACGGATCTCTAGGCGCAGCATTCATTGCAGTGAAGTGCATTCTGTTCTCATTTGTGTAAAGAGTTGCGAAAACTGCGTGGCATCAAAATGACGTCGCTCAGAAAGACTGGAAACAGGTATTGCACATCTTGCCAAGCTCCAGCCAATCAGTGGAGGCTAAAGTGGACATGTCCACTAAGTGGGCACCGGGAGAATAGCTCCTCAGAACTGATTATACAGTTGGTGTGGCATTTATTGATGAAAAGTTTGAATTATTTATTTACATGTCAAGAATTCGTGGCCATATGAATTTTAGTTAGGTCTAGTTAGTGTAACATGTTTGAGATAGCATGCCAGTTACGGTGAGGAAAGAGTTAAATAGTTTACTGTTTAGTAATCAGTGCAATGAATCGTTCAATTTTGTTTGTAATACCATAAGTGGGCACAACTCCAGTTAGACCATGAAGTAGTGGCATCCTGTCTAGCATACTTACTCATCCTACTTAGTACAGTCAAATCATTCTCACTCCTTAAAAAAGCATTGAGGTGCCTTTTACTTATATATAGTTACGTTTTATTAGTTTCCTGTACATCTTTGCTGCTTAAGTTCATGATGATGACTGCATAGATGCCAGGAAAGCTTCCACACAAAGAATAATTTATTCTAAACTATAGTGACTCTACATTTTAAAATATGGAGGGGAGGTGCTGCCTTTGCATATTCTCAGAGTAGGATTTCTTTAGAGAGATCAATGCGGCTTTCTCTTTTTCTAGTATATAGGATTTTACTGGTTCGATGAACTGTTCTATCAACTACTAATGGTGCAATGTAGGCTAATGAAAGTTTTTTTTCCTGCATACACCAAGGACATTATCTTCATTCGCTAGACTCCTTAGGCATTGGTCTTTTTTTTTTTTAGGCTGTTGGCTGGCATTGTTTCATTAGCTTTACAGTTTCATCGTTGCACATAGGCTCACATGGTTGTGTTTCTAGCTTTCTTGTGCCGTATGCTTTCTTTCCAGCTTGCAGTCTGCTTCTGGGTGTTGTTGTGCATTAGCTTGCTTTTGTGTGTAATGATAGTTGTTGCACCGAGCTTAAACTTTTTTTTTTTTTTGTCTTGCAGCGAATGGAAAGAAGAGAGAAGTTTGAAGCTGCCATTCGTGAGAGAGAAATACGTAGACTTGAAACTCAGCAGAGGTGAGCTTGTTGCAAGTGCTTAAGTCATTTCTTGATGATTGTCATCTAATCTCATTTTTGCTAGATTTCCTAAAATTTGAAAAATCTTTCTTAAAAAATGCTTGCAGTTTCACTGTGGGAAAGCCTTTCTCTCTCTCTCTTTTTTTGTTTAAGTACTTCAAGATTGTTACAGTGGCTGAACAGCTGTGTCAGTTGCGCCAAATGTGCTACTTAAGTGAGCTCCTTGAGAGCGGCTTTTGAACAGATAATTTAAGTTTTCTGATTGGGCTCAATAAATGTTTCAGAGCCCCTGTCCATGTGGTTTGGGCATATGTCAGTGAAAGGAGTTCACACTGGCACACATTGGGCAAAACAGAATGTGATTCAAGAAACTTTATTTTATAATAAATTGATTTATTTGAGCAAGCAATCAATGTGTACCTCGATCAGTGTTACATAAGCAGTCATCTTGCACATATTTATGTTGTATAAAAAACTAACCACTTTTTTTCGGTTGTGTATATGAGGGTACATTAAAAGGCTTGTTCTGTAAAAAGATGCCTTTTGTTGCTCTTCACCAGGTGGTCAAGACGTGAAGAAGCGGAGTTCTATCGAGCAGTGTCTTGCTATGGTGTGGACTATCGACGCCAGGAGCAGCGCTTTGTGTGGGATGGCTTTCGCACAGTAGGCCGTCTTGAGCGCAAACGAGATGACACTTTGACTGAGTACTTTCGTGCCTTCCGGGCAATGTGCAGGCGTGTGTGTGGGCGGAAATTAGGCGAGGAAGATGGTAAGTGGCTGTCAAATTATTTTGTTTACAATTTTAATTACTCCATTATGTAATTGTTTACCTTTATTTGGGGTGGATTCTGTGCGTGTTCTTGAAGCACATCTGTTGCATATTGGTTATTTTCATTTGGAACAAGCTGGTAAATCTCAGCATTTCTAGTGGCTCGAATTTCAGGTTAGCCTAGAGACCGGTATCAGTGTTGTGGCATGGCGGATAGGGAGGTGAATCATCACGATACTTTTTAAAGACTATAGTCTTTCTTGGGGACCTTTGACACCGAAGTTTTGGTCTGTCTGTGTGTCTGTCTGTACATTTGTCTGTTTTTCTGCAGTAACAATCCCCCTAAAGGCCCCAAACGATACCTCAAACGGCCAAACCTATCTGCAGCGCCCACCAATATTGCTCAAGTTTCAGCGTTCATACTTGTGGGATTGTCAATTAAAAATCAAATATTGCGCATATCTGAGGAACCATAACAACACTTCGATGTTTTGTATGTGTGCCTTTATACTAGAGAAAGCACACAGAAGTAATTCTAAGGACCGTAGCATTTATCACGCTGCGCTGACAGTGTCACGCAATGCTCAAAAAGTCAAGTGTTAACAACGTTTTGCTGAGACAACACGGTGGTGGTACATGCCCGTTGCTTTGCGTTCTACACCTTATCGCCTCCGAGATAGGCGTGCAGCTTTCTCTGCAAGCGCCCACGCCTTCCTTCGTTTTCGAAGATAACTGCCAGATGATGCTCGTGTTTGTATTATCCAAAGTTCGTAATATCCAAACCCTGTGCAATGGGGGAGGAGGGGGAGTCGTGATGTGATGATCATTTCTATTGCGAATAGTATGGGAAGGCTAGTTCCACTGGTTTATGCTGAATGTATTCGACAGCATGTTTACGAAAGACTTTAATTACCAGAGAACAGAATGCACTTGCTAATTTGGATACATTTGCCCACAGCCTGTTTAATTAAGATTATTGTTGGCACATCTCACTAGTTGTTGCTGCACTGGCTTGGATCGCTCATGTACACTGTACAGTCTACTCTCGTTACAACGAACCGTTATACTTTGGCTAAATGAGTCCATATTTTTTGAAGTACGTAATATCCAAACTCCGCGAGATAGCAAGGGGGCAGGGGTAGTCGCGATGTGATGATAATTTCAATTTGTCCTAGTTTGGGCAGGCAAGTTCCACAGGTTTATGCTGAATTTATTTGAAAGCATACTTACGAAAGACTGAACTACCAGCAGCAGTTTTTAATGAAATTACAGCATATAAAGTCTAATTAATGATCAAGTGCCATTACAATAAGTGCAGGGATGCTTTGGCTCCTGTGCAGTATCGAAGCTTAGCCCTATAATATAATGTTTCTACAGGTTTTTCCACTTCTGTTGATCAGCTTGAAATAAACTATTTTCGCTTTTCGGCTTTTCGGCTGCTCGCTGCTCGTTGGCGCCGTGAGAGCACAAAACGAAAAGAACATGCCACTGCTTGTTGAATAAGGTTTTAACACACCTGAACGTATATCTGCGCATGAAAAGTGAAATGAATAACGCAGTCAGTGCAGGTATCACTGGGTGGGTGTACGTAGAACGTAGAAGATGAGCGTCATGCGAGTTGTTGCGTACCAATATATGTGGTCACAACATGCTATTGTGAGGAATGCGAGTTTGAACACTGAATTCATAGGTCTTGAACGATGAACTGCTCATGAGGCGCTATGGCTTTTAATACTATCGCTGTTTAGACCGTTCACACAGGACTGTAGAGAAGTGTTACAGCTATAGAATTTTTAAAATTTTTATAGACAAGTCATGCACTGAGAAAAAAAAGGGAAAAATAAACACATTCTAAATGTGTTTAAAGATTAAGGAATGGAACTAGAATTCACGTGCAAGATACCTTGTTCTCATAATTTGCGGCTTCTTATAAGATGCTTAAGTATATTCCGCATTGAATGAGACCACTAATGATGGTTCAGCGAATTGGGAGCGCGGAGGTAAACACAGACACAAAGCAAAGAAGAGGCACACAGCATGAGCGCTAATAAATTAGGCCGTATCTGCGCCATGGTGCGTAGGAAGACGCAAGGCATGTCAAAAAACAGAAACATGCAAAACAATTTATGTGCTTTTTACGAGTGGTGTATAGCATACCGCTAACGTGCGGTCGCGTGTACATCGGCCAGACCGGGCGATGTTTGAACTACGCCTCAGGGAGCACTTGAGTTCCTTGAAAAATACTCCTTTTTTCGTTTTAGCTTCACATCGCAATTCCTGCAAGTGTCAATCGTTGTTTGAAAGAACAAGTGTACTTTTCCGGTATCCGCTTCAAACCACGCGTGAAATTTCCGAAGCATATCACATTTCTAGAAATAAGAATCATTGTATTAGCCATCCATCATTATCACTACTTGACTGTGAGTTTAACTATATTGATAATTCGTAGACAAGTGCTTCAAATGAATGCCACGCTTGCTGCTCACACTATCATCTTATTTCTGTTGACATGCGCACCCTTGTGTACTTATATGTCCTTCAAACGTGAGAATAAACCAGTTGTTAGTTGAGCGCTCATGCTGTGTGCCTCTTCTTTGCTTTGTGTCTGTGTTTACCCCTGCGCTCCCAGTTTGCTGAACCATCATGAATTGCCAACTAGCCCATCTTTCCATCCTGTTGCAATGAGACCACTGTTGAATTTTACGTCGGTGCATTCGAATATTGTTCAATGAGGAATAATGATGTCGTACTTACACTTGGCAAAGAAAAAAAAAACAAAAATATGTGGGAATATTACCTAAGCAATAGTTTCCACTGCAAGAAGGTGCAGTGTCCTGCCTATATCATATTGCATCGGTTTGTGAACAGCTCATTCACACTGCAAACAAAGATGAATTCGAATGACTTTCGCCTGCAAAGAAACTAAGAATATTGCTGTTATTTTATGAATACGTTTTGCACAGTTTTAAAGGAAATTGGGAAGCAATACGAGGTGGGGGTTACATTTTCCACACCATAAGCTTAGTAACATTTCATCCGTGGAATGCAAAAAGTCGCAGGGGTCTGCAGTGGGCAGAGAAAAGTGCTATGAATGGCATGTCAATCGTTATTTCAATTGTTGTGCAAGAGTTGCTAACTGAATTCCTGATATGTTCACATATATACATTGGTCAGACGGATTGATGTATCAACATGCGCCCCAAAGAGCATCAAAATTTATTGATTGAAGCCATCTTATCGCACCTTGCATTTTCAGTCATGCAAATGCAATTTCATCTTTGAAGGCCTGGTAATCTTGCACAGTCACCTTAACCAGACCACGTGATAAATCTCAGAGACATGTCATAGAGAACACCACACCTTGTTTAAATACCTTCGTTATCCTAACAACACTACTAACTCAACTTTATTAATCAACTGTAAATACAAATCTTGGTTTTTTGCCTTTTTGTGCCTCTTTATGGCATGTGCGATGCACCCCCATTTTCTAACATACGTTTTTTAACACGTGCGATAACCTTTGAGTCGTGAGTGAGCGTTTCCGGTGTGCGTATTTCTTTCCTAATCCTACTTCTCTCTTTTTTTTTCATCTTGTAAGTTTTATTCCAACCTGTAGTTATAGTGCCAGTGAAAGTTGGTATGTGCACATTGTGCAATCGATACGCACACTGTCTAATCAACATATATTATTTTACAAAACACCATTTATTTCTAAAGTGCTCTTTAAATATACTGGAACCGTGCAATTTACTCGTAAACAGAGTCAAATGACATTGATTTCTAATGCATTCGTGAATTCATGGACAGTGTTTGCACCTTTCAGGCAACCAAGTTGTAGTGTTTTTTATTTATGCCGAAGGCGGACTGACGCTGAAGGACAAGAATAATTACCGTATTTACTTGCGTAATCCTCGCACTCGCATAATTTTTGCACCCCCCTCATTGCCCAAGAAAAATACGATTTCTTTGTTTCCTCGAGTAATTATCGCACCCCTGAACACTGCTGCAATAATGTCGTCTGCTCGTTCCAGCCACTGATGATGATAGCACGCGCCATCTGGTGCCATCTCTTAAGCATCAAGCGTACTATTGCACGCAGATTCAATCCAATCCAAGCCAAGCGAAAGTGGCCAGTGCACGTTGCGTCATGTTTTGTATGCTGTGCCTGTAATCTTGGCACGTTATGGGGTGATATTGAAGCTACACGGCTGCTTCAAATTGCAAGTGATAGATCATGCACTAAACAACGGGAACAGGGCCGCCGGTAGGCCCTTCGGAGTCTATGAGTTTTGTGTTCGCTACTGGTGATGGCAGCTGAAAGCCACCAAAACGTGTTGGGCCTGCCGTGTGCCTAAAACTGGGATTGATGGTAAACTTTATTTCTTGAGAAGGAAACTGTGGACGATTCTGTTAAATAGCCATCAGCCCAATACTGACATCCTACGCTTACCTTTTGAGGGAGGGCTCTTGTTGAGCGACGAACGCTACCGCTACGCCCGCAAGGCCCACAAGCTTTGCGTATGGTATTCTAATTCTCGACTATTTGCTTGCACTTTTTGTGTCTCAAATAAATCTTGCCTTGTGTTGAATCTCTGCTTTTATTGTTGAGGTAAATTTTAATTAGTACTTTTTGAAGCTTGCTGTAAGTTGCTGGTAAAAGAATCTCAATTTGCGGCCACTTCGTTTTCTTTTTCGCTATGTAAGTTTTCATGGAAAGTTTTTCCCTCGTAATTCTCACACCCCCCAACTTTGCATCAGTTTTCCGGCAAAAAAAGTGCGAGGATTATGCGAGTAAATATGGTAACTGATGCTTCTGAGCTGCTCAGCTGTTTGAACAGGGGGACAAGTGTGAATCGTAGACAGGCCATCGTACCTAAACACTGATGTTAGTGAGTGAATCACGATATCACACCTTGCTGAGTTCACTTGATTTGAGAAGCGCTGGCATGGGGCTAATGAAAAGTTGAAGCGGGAGGCCAGCGCGTATGACGGTTGCTGCG